TCGATGACGGAGTCAACAAATAAATACCAGCCCAAATTTATAAACAAATTTGTAGGTTGTAGACATGTTTTTCCCCCTTCCCACCCTCTCCTGTCAGACACACATTTGTTGTAATTGTGTGGCTGGAAAGTGAAACCTCGTCTAGGGCACAACAGCAGCCGGAATAATGGGGGGGAAAACGAATGGTTTTGATCTGAAAACCCAGTAACTTTCGAACACATTTGCGATCACATCCGACCCAAGGCGATCTAATGATTTAATGCGATTTGGCGATTAGTTTATGATTTATATAACACTTGTTTCGGGCCTGCTGCGGATGCACATCAGTGGGAAATTGAGCTTAAACTTTTGATTTAAATTAAGTAAATAATAATGATAAATTTCTGCAGGGCAGAAACAAAAGATTTTGTTAGCTTAACTATGTTAGAAATATACCCAGAGCTCCAGGAACAGCAGAATCTAGTGCTTTGGCACATTTTAGCTGCTTTTGCGGCCCCAGTTTGGCACAGAAATGATAAGTCTTAATTGCCACATGCCACATTCCATGCATCACTGTACACAAGTCTAAGTTTCAACTACCCACTTAGCCACGAATACGCGCAGCTTGAAACCCTCTGGACTTTTAATTCCATGTTTATCCCAATGTTTTTGCATTTTTAATGCACATTGCGAGAAATTGGCAAAAAATGTTGGCAATTGTATGAGCCAGACGGGCAAATGAAAACTTAAGAGATTAAAGGGGCTATATATCATGGGTGCAATCACATAATCATGACAGGCAATTCGCCTCCTTCGCTCCCAAGCCACATCAGGCTAATCCAGCCAGCCAGCTGGGTCGGGGTTGGATCTTGGGGTTCGTGCACTGGAATCTGCTGACCTTTTGAATGAGCGAATGGGAACCTGCTGTCATGAAGAGTGTGCAGGTAGCTTGGCATAGCTTGACCAGACAGCCTGTCACATCTCACAACTCAATTGGCGCTTGACCAGGGAAATGGAGAGGCAAAACATGAGGAGCAGCGGGACGGAGTGCAGCGGAGAGGCTGCAACAAGTTGTACATGGTTGATGCTCATGTTTGCTGCAGACCGGCTGATGTTGCAGATTACTGCTGCCTGTGTCTCTGCTTTGAATGTTGCTGCTGGTCATGTTATCGCCAATGTTGTTGCTGCCATTTGCCACGCCTCCGGCTGGCCGGCACCAATCTCTCGGCGTCTCTGTTGCAATTTCTGGTCTTGTCTTACATAAAAAAAATGAAAAGATCATCAAAAGATGATCAGTTTTCGGTAACTGCCGAAACGAACCAACACCATTTCTTTTTGTGTTGGCAATTTAATGACTGATTCCGATCGAGAGGTAAACAAAAACCAAACACAAACAAAAAGAAATGCCAAAGTATTTATAGTCATCAAGACATTTCGTTGTGACAACGAAACAAAATCAAATTGTTACACCATTCCGTGACTTTTGATTTGTGCATACATTATGATGGATAGGATACACGTAAGCCGATCGATGGATCGATGGATATTTGTAATATTATCGAATGATTGATGGGGGCATCTGGTTGACCGAACGTGCACTTCCGTGCTCCTCGATCGGGTCACAGCTGCTGGCTCTGGTTTCCGGCTCCTGCCTCCGTTTGTTGTTATTGTCGTGGCTGCTGGCCATGGCCAAATGCGAATCACGATTCGAGCTTGTTTTGCCAGCACTTCACTTCACTCTCGTTTTGGCTTTTACTTTTTTCGGTTCCCCCCCCCCCCCCCCTCCCCATCGGAGTTGCTTTTACCGCACAGATCGAGCGGAGGGAGGGAGGGTTACCCAAAACGAAAGCAAACTGCAAATCAACAATAATAAAACCCACTTGAGCGGTCAGCGGCAGGCATGAGGGAAGATAACCCATAGCTAGGAAGTCTACCCAAAAGCCACACACTCAGAGCCCAAAATTCACAGCCAAATTCAAATGCAAAACTGCTCACCAGATTCAGTAATCTAAAACAAGAGTACCCACAGACCCAGCCAGCTGCCCATGCTTTTTAATGACATAATTAGGCGTTATTTTGAAAGGTGTTGCCCCATGAAAGGGCGGGCAACGAGGTACACACATAGCTGCAAACGCTCCACTAAATCACTTGACTGAACTGCCACTTCAGGCAGACCGGGTCGCCGCCCAGCCTTATTGATTTGACCCCACAGCGGCGGCGCAGACTTTCACCCAATGCAGCAGCAGCCGGAGTTTGGTTCATGCCGTGTTATGTCTACCCACTCCTGGATGCATACTCGTGCATACGTGCATATATTTATTGTAATTCCTAATTAGGCATTACCGAGGCGCATTCCGTGCTGCACAGTCTGCCGATCGTTGTTGCATTTTGGAGTTTTTGCTTTTATTTATTTATGATGCTGCTGCTGGGGGGGGGCCTGGGTGATGTCATCCGTTCCCAGCCCCTGGCCATTCGGTAGCTTTGGGAGCAGCACATCTCCGGCGGCTAGCGACTCCAACGAAATCAATTTGATATAATTATGTAACTGTATTCGTATCTGTATCTGTATCTGTATATGTCGGTCCCGAAGACAGACCCAAAGCTGACACTGATGCTGACTGCCGTGCCGCAGAGCCATCATCAATCAGTTGAGGGCCCCATCATTAGCTCACATTTCATCGAAACGTCACAGACAAAACGGAGATCTTCGATCAAATATTCAAAACATACAGTGATGGCTGGACGAAGGCAAAGACATGTAGAAATACTTGAAGTAAATGTAAAAACTATTTTTGTTAAGTTAAAGTTTGTAATTTTATCATTATAATGAAGTAAATATAATAGAATAATACTAGAAACCACCGCAAAACACATTGCATGTCGTGTGCATGACTCAAAAGAATTGCATGTCGTGTGCATGACTCAAAGTAAAGCCAAGTACGATGCTCTGAGTATGTGTAAACTGTTTTTGATCAACTAAAAACACATTGCATGTCGTGTGCATGACTCTGAAGAAGTGCACGTCGTGAGCATGACTCAAACGATGACAATTAATAATAAAATTGAGCCAAAAATGATTATGTAAATAAGTGAAAGTAATTTCGACCGTCAAAAAACCAGTTACATGTCGTGTGCATGACTCTGAAGAGTTGTATGTCATGCGCATGACCAAGGTTCGTCTCGAATTTCACATTTATAGGTTCAACAGAGGCTTACGACAGTTTCCGCTCGCTTCTTCAGTTATTAACTGGGCTCAAAGGCTGCTGTTAACCCTCAATAGCAGATCCGCAAAACCCACTCTGATCAGTAGTTGTTGGTGGTGGTGGTGGTGGTGGAGCCTTCCTGTTGTGCGCACCTGCAGAGCAAGTCACCAGCTCAAATTGTTTGGCGACTGAGTGCGTTCAACCTACAGCTGGCAATGTCTCGCCTGCCACTACCAACTCCACTTGTTAGCCAAGTTTATTGTCGATCCATCCAGCTTTGCCTGCGAGCCGAGCCATGCCATTTGATTTCGAGAGCAAATGCCAATCGGCAACAAAGCCACAGGCCCCCGGCCACGATACCCGATCTCCTGTCTCCCCGAGCAGACCTCTAGCCAAACCGAAGTTCAATGGCTATGGCCATGGCGGACAAAGGCTAACGCATCTTGGAAAATTGATTTGCAGTTCGCTTGATTGCCGGGCCTGCCACCTTGGCGGCACTCATTTTCCGTGGCTTCTCATTCTCCGTTAGACACCAGACAGGCAACCAAATTGCTTTCAGCTTAATGGAGGCGGACCATTTACCACAGCCACTTACAACAATTGCCATTGATGAGTTGCAAGTTGCAAGTTGCAAGTGTTGTGGTTGAGCGTGCTCCAGGACTCGTTGGGCACGTCTTGGCCCAGCTTTTATTCCGGAGTTATTTTTATAAGTATGGGATAAAGATGTAGGCAGAATATTTGAATAGCTTTGCTTTTTATGCACAACAAAATTTGTTTTTGTCGCGATTTTTGTCCACATTGTAATGCCTTTATTTTGAAAAGATAATCACTCTGTAATCAGAGTATAATAATATATGTAGATTCAGTCAAATTTACATACTGTTTATGGCTGCTGGATAAATGGTTAACTAATCCCCAATCAATCGCCAATTTATATAAACTTTCTTAAGCGGCAAAGAAAAAACGCCCAGAGCTCGCGACTTTTCTTGTTAAAATTTGAACATTCCTTAGGATTTATTTAGCCAAATAAAAGTGAAGCTTCTATAGTTTCAGAACACAATGCAGGCGGTGTAAAAAGTGAGCAACTTTCGTTTTCCTCAGTTTGGAATTTGAACAATGGAATTTATGCTACTGTAAAGAATGCTCGAATCTTTCGCGGCGGTGTCCAATGAATAGCCAATAAAAATATCTAGAAATAAGTGTCCATTGAACGAGGCTTTGTTGTGGCATTAGTCGAGGGTCCGCTGGCTAGAGGGCTATTGAGATTGGTGATGCTCTCCCTGGCGTGGCCCATTGACAGACACAAATCCAAAATAGGCATCAATGCTCGTACAACAGACAGATGAAAAAATACAAATAATAATTTCACTTTCTTTGCAGTTAGTTGAAGCAGCGTTGTTGCACGCTCCGGTGTCTTTGTGCCCCATTGTTGTTGCAGCGACAAGACAAGATCCAAGAGCTGTGAGGCGGCGGCTGCCTCAGGTTTATTGACTGCGCGTCGTCTATGCAATTAGCTTTACTCTTTCGTTTTTGTTGTTTTGCGCCTGAATGGGCCGCACTTGGTCCGACCGGAGGGAGGGGGCAGCCAGGTGGGGCAGGTGAACCGAAACATAGGCATCATCATCTGCATGTACAAGTGCACCTGAGGGCGGCAACGCCCAGCTCCGACACTGACACTGAGGAGGCGCTTGTGGCACACATATTTTCACGCAGCAATTACGCTGTTGCCCCATGCCCCCCACTCAATCAATTAAGGGTCTAACTAGCACACATTTTGTTGGTTTATTTGTTGTTGCATTGAATGACTAAACACACAAAAAATGCACAAGATAGATTAGATCCCTGTTTATCCAGTTGACTTTGGTTTCGTTTTCATTCATAAGTAAAATACTCGCAGAAGTGCAAGTTTGCAAGAAATGTGTGGAATGTTTTCTCATGTTTTTGTCTGCTTGAAATACATTTAGATTTTAAAATACTGTCGCGTGGCTTCAGCTCTACTAGTGTACGATTATTTTGTTTGCGTTTCTATATTTGATTCATGTCGGTAATTCATTTCAACCAGACGTTCTTTGAGTGTGTGTGGGCGCAGTCAGTCATCTTGTTGGCTTTGAGAACAAATTTAGTCGCTAATTGAAAATTAATAAGTACGTGGGTGGGTATGTGGTTGTCAATCAAACCAGTCGAGACATGAAATTGTGGCCGAAAGTCGATGAATAGTTTGGGTTACAATTTGGCAAACAAATTATGAAACGAGTCAGTCTTAATCGAGAAACAATTATCACAGAAAAACAATAAACATGACCTGGGCAGGACTTAGTTGAGGGCAATGGTGCCCTCATCAGCACTCAACATGGAACGAACTATTTCGGGGCCAATGCACGAGTCCATGCGACGCAGCATCACCATTCTGTCCACCTCACGCTTGATGAGCGCTCGCAGAGTGATCAATTGCTCCCCGAACATCGGATGCAGGCCAATGCGTACCCAGTGATCGATGCACAGCTGCCCCTTGGGTGCAGTGTCCAGCAGGCCAGGGCTGCTGCTCGGTCGCTTGGTTATCTTGAGCTCCTTTCCACCGGCAATGGCCACGTGCAGGGTGCTGACCAGACTGGTTTGCTCCAGCGACGACTTGTACTCCGAGACGCGTGTCTTCTCCACATACAGCACCCACTCGCTGGGCAGGGTGCGCATCTTCTTCTTGCCCAACAGGCAGGAGTTGCGCGAGACAAGTACGTTCGGATCGCACTCGGCCACCAGCTCGTGCTTGGTGTAGTCGTAGTAGGCCAGGTTGGGGTAGAGGCCAGCGGTGAGGGCCAGCCGCAGCATGTTGTTGTCCCTGTCATTGGCGCTGGCGTGGCGCTTGGCTGTCTGATCCAGCTTGAAGATGCGGCAAACAGATTCCCGCAGCGTGGACACGGCCGAGACAAACATGGCCATGGAGTTGGAGCACAGATAGTTGAGCTCGCAGAACTGGGCCAGCTCCTTGTGGCCGCGCCGGGAGATGTCCGTGTATTGTTTGTAGAGACTTATCATTCCAATCAAGTCGCTGTGGCAGTTCTCCGTCAGTTTGAGGCGCGCCTCTTGCGGAAAGAAGCTCCGGCGTCGATCGACGGGCAGCACGAAGGGATCGCGGACAGAATGGAAGGCGGCAATGATGGACATGCTGCCCAGACATCGATAGTATATCGAGTACACCACGCACTTACCCATCTGCACGCTCAGCGGCAGCTCCGCAATGATACGGCCCAGCATGGTGATCGACTCATTGGTATCCTGGAGCACGCCCAAGAGCTTGAGCCGCGAGCAGGCCTGATTGACGGCCTCCGGCTGCGGCGCATCCAGTGCCTGCGACAGAAACGTCGGTATGGACTGCTCGGGAGCTGCAACCTTCGTCAGCAGACAGATCTCGTCCAGCGTGCGTCGCTGGATCTCCGGTATGGTGTAGATGTTCATCTTGGCGAACTGCTCGCTGGAGTACAGGCGATAGCAGATGCCATCACGGATGCGACCAGCCCGACCGGCCCTCTGCTGGGCATCCGCCTGCGAAATGGGCGTTGTGGCCAGCTGCGCGGCGTTCGTCTTGGCGTCATAGATCTTCATCTTGGACTTGCCCACGTCAATGACGTAGACCAGCTCCGGTATGGTGATGGACGTCTGTCCAATGTTGGTGCTCAAAATGATCGTCAGCTGGACATTCGGGTAATTGCGGAATATCTTCTTCTGCTCATGATTCTCCACCTGGCTGTGCAGCAGAAGTATTTGTATTTTGTCCGCCGGCAGGGAGTTGTACAGACACTCCATCAGCGAGGTCATGTCATTGTAGCCCGGCAGGTACACAATTACCGCACCCTTCTCGCCACTCTTCGTGAGCAGCTCCAGCAGGGAGACAATCAGATTGTTGTCAATGTCCGACTCCATGTAGCGCGTGAGGATGTACGCATGCAGCAGCTCATCCGCTGTGGCGGTGTCAATCTTCTCGCCCAAAATGTGCTTCATGGCCGCGGTCATGTAGCCAGTCTCGCTGAGAATCTGCTCCATCTGGAAGATGCGCACCCCGAAGCTGCGCCCCTCCACATCCAGGACGGGCACATTGCCAAAGTATGCGGACAACGCATCCAGATCCATCGTCGCGGACATCAGAATCACCCGAAGATAGGGATTCTTCTGCAGTTCCAGCTTGATGACCAGCAGCAGAAAGTCCGTGTCCAAGTCACGCTCGTGCACCTCATCGATAATCAAGTGGGTGACGGTCTCAAAGAACGCCTCCGTATCCATGGTCAAAGCCCGCAGCAGGCAGCCGCTGGTGGTCAGCGTGAGCACAGTGTGGCTGGTGCAATTGCCTGCAAGCAAAATGGAATTTAACATCATCGGAAAGCACAGTGGCAGGCATCACTTACTGTTCATGCGAATCTGATATCCCACAGTGCCGCCTGGCAGCTCGCCACGCTCCTTGGAGATTCGCTCCGAGACGCTGATGGCCGCTATGCGTCGCGGCTGGCTCACCACAATCCGCACCTCGTTCATTGTGTCTGCCGCCCACTCCAGCACATACTGCGGCACCTGCGTTGACTTGCCAGAGCCAGTGCTACCCTTGACAACGAGAACCTGTGCACGGAAGGGGAGGACAAGCGTTAAGCAAATACAGAGGTAAAAAGAGAGCTTCGGGGACTCACCTGGTGCTGTTGCAGTATGCTCTGAATCATTGTGCGATAGCGAAAAATGGGTAGACCGGTGCGCTCCCAATACAGCGGATTGTTTTGGTTATCCGGATGTGGGGGTACTTGTCGCACACCCACCAAGCCGAAGCCGTTCCGCTGCCTGTTCAGGTCTGCCCGAGAGCCGTTGCCTTTGTGTGCCGCCGCGGCCAGCACGCGTTCAATTTTGGCGACCGACGAGGCCAGGGTTCGGGTCACTTTCGAGTTTACCAGCAGCACGGGGGCATCGAGGCAGTGGTGCAGACTGGAGCCCGGCGACCGAGTGACGCTCAGCACCCGATTGTGTGTGGGCCCACGGCTGACGGACTTCAAGCCCATCGACTGGGCATAGCTATGAATTAGGCTGCGCTGCTCATTGTTCATGCCCTCCAGCTTCAGCTCTAGCTTATTGCTGGCCAGAAATTCAGCCAGCAGTTGCATCACCAGATTCTTCTCCATCACACTAAGTGTAAGTGCAATAATATTCACACTGCTTTGGGGTGACGGTTGCTGCTGGCCACCACCATTGCCCTTTCCCACTTCACCAAATGCAGGCCCCTTCTTTCCCTTCTTATTCTTCTTGCGCTTTTTGGTCTTCTCAGCATGGTTGTCTGCCATGGCGTAGTAACTTATATATTATTTGTTCCACAGCACAACTATTTCTCTGGGTGTTTGTTTATTGTTTTTTGGATGTGAAAATTGTATGGACCAGTGTGACCGCGGACGATTTATCGATTAAATATAACACCTGACTCTCAGAAACATACCTTATCATTTTCAAAATATACCAAAAATATTCCTAGATTTGCATATATTATTTAAGCATATTGGCATGATACGTACAATTAATATGCCATTATAATTAAAGTAGGGCCAACACTATGGATAGTATTGATTAAAACAAATTAGAAACTTTATTTCGCTTTAACAGGTTTTTTCTCTTCCTCGCTATCGTCCTCTGAATCTATCTCGGAATCATCCTCCTCAGCGTCCTCATCATCGTCTTCATCATCATCGTATTCCTCTTCATCGTCCTCTTCGGCTAGGTTCAGTTGCTTTATTTTGTCCAGCAGCTCAGCGCGAGTGTGGGCCACACGTTTCGCCTTCTCCTCGATCTCCTGCGTTTCCTCGTCCTTCTCAGCTGTCTCTGGCTTCTTGCCCTTGGCCATGTAGCGCAGAAAGGCGCGACGCTTGCGTTCCGAGAAAGATTTGACCAAGCGGTCCATCTCCACCTGCAGCTGCTGCTCCTCCTGTGGCGTGGGCTCGGGTGCCTCTATGGCCACCTCGTCGGCGGTCTTCAGGCACTTGGCGCAGGCGTGGGCCTTGATGGCGCACTCCCGACAAATGACATGGTAGGCCTTCTTCACTGTCCGCTCCTTGCAATGGCTGCAGGTCTTCGCCTGTGTCAGCGGCTTGTACTTCTTGTATTTGATCTTCCACTCGATCACCTCCTTGCAGCGCTGGCACACCGTCGAGACATGCATCGAGTTGAGTCGCATCTGTTGCGGCGTTTTGTCGTGCAGATCATTCTTGAATACAAAACGATTTTTGTGTTTCTGGGCACGTGTGCGGTTAACGTTACCGCGTTGTGAACTCATCGTGCTCTAGTAGACAACTAAAAGGGGCGTCGTTGATGGTTAACAAATTCGGCATAGGCTTTTGATTGGGGGTGCCTGATTTACCTGCTGCAATTATTGCAATTTTGTGAACTTACAGCAAAAGTTTAATTATACAGTTTATTTATACAGCTTTATACAGTGTGACCGCGAAATTATCGATAAGATATACCGACAGACCTTCGGAAATATACCAAAACATTCCCTTTCATTTTCACAATATACTGCAATCTTAAATCATATTCCGCAATATTGATGTTCTATATGAAATTACTAGCTAGTTAGGGGTCTCTGCGCTAAAACTATAATTTTATCAGATTTATCAATCAATTGTTCAGGTCCATAAAAAACATGTTGCATGTAAGACATAAGTGGTGATATTTTAAGACTCATGCTGAGATGAAAATTCCCATGTTGCGAGAGAGAAATATCCCTTCAAAGGAGAGAGAAAGAAATATACCAAAATGCTACAAAAATACCAATACTCCATCAGCATGCACACTGTTATGAGCTGAGTGTTATAAAACTGTTGTTTTGTACCGCTTCCAGTGCTCATGGCTATGAAACTCACCTCTCTCAACGATAGTGGATTGGCGGCAAGTTTATCGAAATTTGAAGCTGTACTTGTGTTTATTTGAAATGTTTAATAATTACTGCTGTAACTATATATGGTATGTTTAGTTATACTTTTCACTCATTCTGGCACTCTTTAATTGCAGATTTGAGTGAACAGCTCTGTCTCATGTCGCCATGCGCGACCTCAAACAGCGGCTCTTCGACCTTCTACGCTCTGGCGGCAACAACAGCAGCGGCAACAACAACAACACCAACAGCAATGGCAGCAGCAATCAAAATGGCATTCCACACATTCAGCACACAATTCAGCAACTGCCTGCGGCCCAGAAGCCTAAGAAGCTCCACGAATACACAGCCGCTGACTGCAATGCGGCCTTTCTGCGCAAGTACCATGACCTCAGCATTAGCAGGGGCATTGCTGGTCTTGAGCAGAGCCGTGAGCGGGAGCGGGAGAGGGAGCGGGAGAGGAACAGAGACAGAGAACGCGAAAAAGACAGGGACAGAGATAGAGATAGAGACAGGGAGCTGGAGTGGGAGAGGGAGAGGGAGCGCGAGCGCGAGCGGGAGCGACAGCTCGCCCACGGTGCCAATGTGATCTACTTCAATGAGAACCTGTCGATGGCCAGCAAGTACAATGTGCGTCAGTTTCCACTCACCCGCTACCCCTCCTGTCCGCTCAGCAGTTTTGGGCTATCACCCACCTCCCCCGCCACCCACAATGGACCCAGCCATGAGGGCGCCGGCAGTGCTGGCAGCAGCCTGGGGGAGGAGGAGGAGGACGACACGGAGAGCGATAGGTACAACTTTTGTTCGGATGAGGATCAAAGCAGCAACACACAAACCCTCAAGATTGGGCGACACAGCCACGACATGGACATGGATGTCGATGGGGATGTGGATGTGGAGGATGACCGGGCCGAGTCCCAGTTGGACTCCTTCTGCACACTCTGCACCTCCACGTTCAGCTACAACAAGTGCTGTCGCTTCTGCGATAATTCCCTTTGCGGCTCGAAATGCAACTCGGAGCGCGGCTCCCATGCCAGCCGAATGAGTCGAAACGGCGGCTACCCCCAATCCGAGGCAGACCACGAGCAGCAGCAGCAACAGTTGCCCTCCCAGCAGCATCGATTTGGTGGCAGCATGAGGATGCTCTCCAACTATCAACCGACGGCTCTCAGGTGAGTGCATTGCGACAGTTACAAATAATCGATCGCTGCAAAGAGCAGGGTCAAAGCTCGCGGTGCAAATTGCTGCATCGTAAACACATCGTAAAGCGGCAACAAATCAATCGATGGTCAACTGCCAATCAAGTGCTGCCTCATTAGTGGCGATCGATCGATCGAGGGGCAACACTGCTGAAGTGTGGGGGGGACTTCAATAATTCTATTAAATTGCATTGTCCATCGTCGCGTCGTTGCGGCTAATTAGCTGTAAACTTTTGATTGATTGCATTTAAATGAGCTTTTGCAGCGGTGGTGGTGAGTGTTGGAGTGTCGAGAGTCAGAGAGTCAGAGAGAGAGCGCGCGAGCGAGAGAGCAACGACTCAAACAATTATGCATAAAACCTTAAACTGGCCATAAACAACCGTTAGGCAGATGGGAAGATGAGGCCCCATCATCTAACGCTGCTAACGCGCATGACGCCGCCAGCTTGACCATAAAAAAGCATAAAAATTCTATTGAATACAACGAATACAAACGTATAAACAAAAACAACAAAAAAGATGGATTAAGTTCATGTCTTGGCGAAGTTTTTATGCTCTTGCTGTTCGGGGTTGTCGATGGTTTAACAGGGATTAAGCTCAGTACCATAAGAATAATAGTAATTGGTACAAACACAAAATAGCTAAATAAATTCATTTGAATATAAACTCCAGATAAGCTTAAAGCTCGAGGAGTAAATTCTTCTTTGTTTATGTACGAGCTCACTCCTCCGCGCATATTTACACATTTCTGCGCTTTGCTCGTTGGAAGAATACCCTCTTAGGGTAGGGTAATATAGAAATTCCAGCATGCTGAAAATACAAAAAGGCGAGCAAGAAAAAGTCTAGCAATGTGCAAAAAGCGCATCGAAAATCAACTGAAGACAAACCACAGCCACAGCAGCAGCAGCGCAGCGGCAGCCGAGCGCACACACACACACACACACATGCAAGCAAACGCACGCGCCTACCTGCTGCATACACCCGACTGAGCTTGTGTTTACATCAACAACAGCAACAGCAACAACAAGTCCAAAGAGCTTTCTCGATCGGCACTTCTTTGGGGTCCGCTGCTTTTGGCTCTTACATTTCTTTGGCGACCGCTGGCCGAGCTGGTCTGCAACAACCACCAACCGGCCTCAAGCCTCAAACAAGCCGCGACCATTGTACGCCCAGCACGTGCCGCGCTCCACAAACCGCCAACCGCCCTAAAACTTAGCCAGAACAAAAAACAAATCTTAGTTGCTCGCACAAACTGCAGCTGATAACTGCATAACGGTTTTTGTTTTTGTCAATTTTTTTTGTTTACTTTTTTTTGTTTTTGGCATTGCTTGTGAAACTCTGCGGATAGTAGATACTATGATATGATTCGTCCACTTCCAAAAGTGTGTGTGCTGTGCCAGTGCTTTTGTGTGTGAAGAAGAGATTGTGAGAGAGAGAGAGAGAAACACTTGGACAGAAGCAGCGACAAGTGCACTTCAAACTGGAAATGGTGTGCGGTAAGTACACTCCAGGATAATGCAATTAAATCTCAATTATTGCATTGAAAAGTGCATTGTCAAACAATTTCCCTGTAACCTATCCTAGCACGATCTACTTACAGCCCTGAGACTTGCAAAGATCATAAGTAGAAGCAGAAATATGAGATCTAAATATGTATATACATATTTGGAGAGAACTTTAACTGATTTCTATCCAAACGAGGCTCTCAAATATGATAGATTCATCATACCATCTCCCGATAACGTTCTGTGTATCTTCCCTTTGCTTGGACCCAACTTTCTTGAGAGTGGATGGAAATATTTATAATTTGGAGAACTTTTTTAGCATCAAAAATCTTCCCTGCCTCAGGGGCAATGTGTGCTCAAAGTTGCGACTTAGATTGCTTTCTCTATACAGCGGGTCATATCACGATTGGATTTGCCTAAGTTATACAACCCTTTGGGGGCTGCGACTGATTATACGACCAGCTGCGATAATTACGACTCCAATGCACTCCACAACACTCCCCGCCCCCTGTTCCGGGGTTGTCTGGTGGGGGGTTTTGAGTGTGTTGTAATGAACTGAATGCAACTCCATATCGCATGCCACACCATGTCAGACTGTGTTTCATACCATCTCTAAAGCGTGCGCCGTGATAAATGAACGGGGCAGCTATCCATATCCATGCTGCTCACTGACGTGATCCACGATGCACGAGCTGTGTAGAATCCACAACCAAAAACGAACCAACAAAAATAATAATAAAACCGCATAAAATTGTATTTTGTTTCGGAGTTGCAC